AAAAAAAAAAAAAAAAAAAAAAAAAAAGAGAGACACGCTCTACGCACGGAATCTTAATCGCCAAGCGAACAAGGAAAAGCCACGATTTGGGCCGGTACGAAGTGCGTTCTAGCTCTACTGCAAATATGGCTTTATTGCTATCGCGTACAGTTATCGTTCTGCAGGAACTACGTGAGTCAAAGGCATGTATCCGCGGTATTCCTGTGCCTGAGAAGAATTCGAGTCAAGTTATTCTGATTTCAGCGTTAGATTAGCCCGTCCGGACGTCTCTTCGCATTCGGTTGATATTCGTGCGAGAGGGTTGAACCGCGGATCGATGAAGAGCAGAGCGAGACGAAGCCAACGCGAGGGACCGCGTGAGCGAGAGAGACAGAGGGCCCGATCGGAACCGAGAGCGGTTTTTTCGTCGATCGATATCACGACGACAAGAGGTAACCGCCACGTGAAAACGAGCCCAGTCAAACGTACCAAAAGTAACCGAGCGTAGTCATACGCTCAGGTTGCATTATCGTAACGTGGACTTTGTCCTCGCCGAAAAGTATATGAGAAGTTGAGAGAGAAAGAAATGGAAAAAGAAAGCAAAAAAAAAAAAAAACAATGTCCTCGTTCGTTCATCCCGGCGTATCCGTTACTCGATACCAGATAGGAGACTCGACGATGAGCATCATAGTGACTTGCTCACGCGTACCAACTTTTCCCAGAGTGGGTGGTACGGATGCACGGTAGGTGAGAATAAAATACCGGTTTATATATACCTATAGCGGGTAAAACTTGTCTTCCCGTCATTATTATATACATATATATATATATAGAAGCATAGTAAAGGTATATCCCGTCTCTCTCTCTCTCTCTCTTTTTTATCTATCAAGTTGGCATCTCCCAGAACGCCATACTGATTAATGGCTAATGAAATTACGCACTTTGTCTAAAGAACGACTATCCGCGGGTACTTTCACGCGACTTGAAAAGAATTAAAAAAAAATAAAATAAAAAAAAAATGAAAAAAAAAATGGCAGCCGCTAATTAACGATCGGAGCGAAGCCCCCGTGCGCCGAGAGAACTATTCTGCTCGCATCGCGATAGTCATAAATTGATATAACCGCGGCGCTCGACTAATGAGATGAAATGTGATCGCCTTTCTCTCGTTAAACGCAGAGTCGTGGAATAAAATCGCATTCGCTGCCGCCGCGTGTACATATTATCGCCGGACCGTTTCTGGGCGCGACGGGCGTCTCGTGCTCGCTCGGTAATAATCGGCTGGTATCGGATACTAGAGCTCGTCTACGAGACGCACAGGAATCGATAGACGATCGATGCCAAATCGTTCGATCTTGATTTTATATCGTTAACCGGCATTAGGAAGATGCTCGAACGAGGCGCATTCGCGTATTCCAGCTGAAATTCATATATATATATATATAGTACTGGAGGAAATCGGTTACTTCTTGAAAATTCCTAAGACGCAGATGACGCAATGACTCTGAACGATCGCGCGTATTTGTGAAACGCGGCTGACACAATGGGCATTACAAGGAGACGAACAAGAGAGAGAAGGTGAGCGAGATATGGAAATTGGTGTGCGAGGGAGAGACGAGGAGGAACGGAAAGAAAGTAATGTCGATTTATGTGGAGCAGCGAAAAGACGTACGGTACATCAGTTAGCAGGACAATATGGCTACAATCTTATCTACGGTCTCCCATTCTATTCTTTATTATGTCTGCTTGACATACACGCAACCGCGTATATATATATGTACGCGTATACCTGTATATATACCACGTGTATAATACATACGGGCCAAGCTATATATAATAAACGCAGCATATATCTATAGAAGCGTATAAAGGGGCGTTAGGGCTACAAGGACCTGCTCCACAGATCAAATCAGTGATGTATTACGTTCATATTCCAAGCTTATCTTCAATCCAGAATCCACTCGTGGTAAATGTCTTTATTTTATTGCATTGAAAAGGCGGCTGGACTCGAATAATAATTAAAGGTGCCGTTGAGAAATATAAAGTTTAACAAAAATTTTTCATAAAAGGCGTACACGCGAATGAAAAAATTGGAGGGAAAAATTTTCATAGATTTTATATAAGATTCTAAGGGCTGGACCGGCTACGGCAGAGGACAATTCGACGAGGGAGAGATGGTCAGAGGACATGGGGTAGGATAATGGACGCTACGAAGTTTATAACGGCATACTATGGGGTAGGGGATGAAGTAGGAAGTGCAAGGGGTTGCTACGTTTTTCAAGGATAAAGCTATTGGGGTGGGTCCGGAGCACTCAGGTAATTATTGGCATTGTGATCTCCGTTTGGAGTCTACTCGATTCGATCCTGGCGGCTGTATAGACACTTTTTAGGTGTATATACGTATACTCGTCGCATATGGATTCCATGATTAGTGCCTTTGGAAAAAGTAAAATTTTCGGCTCTGCAAAATTAACGATTCGAGTCACGAGTGAGAAAATCAAAATTTATCTGTAAATTTCGGGATGCTGCAACGTCCCTGGACCGTAATCCTTGTGGGGTCGCGAAGAAGTGGGCTCGTAGACTACAGGGGGGTAGAAATAACTTGTTACTGGTCGACCCTCCGTCTTAGGCAACGTCATTCTTCGAATATCTGGCTCAAAGCGAACCCGCGAGCTATCCTACCTCCGAGGAATGTCGAAGGTCTGAGTCGTGAACTTAATAAGTAAATTATTCCAGGGACCCCCGAGACTTCCTGCAAGAAAATTTCGATCACCCTGCTTACAGTTCAAGATCGTGGAAAGTCCCTAGATTCGGATACGAGTATCGGCACGGTACCACGTGCGTTACCGAGTGGTGGGGGGGGGGGGGGTTTTTTTTTTTTTTTTTTTTTTTTTTTTTTTTTTTTTTTTTTTTTTTTTTTTTTTTTTTTTTTTTTTTTTTTTTTTTTTTTTTTTTTTTTTTTTTTTTTTTTTTTTTTTTTTTTTTTTTTTTTTTTTTTTTTTTTTTTTTTTTTTTTTTTTTTTTTTTTTTTTTTTTTTTTTTTTTTTTTTTTTTTTTTTTTTTTTTTTTTCAAAACGCCTTCGAATCTTCACGTTACGCAACCATCGTCTCGCGATCGTGATCCCATGCCTTCTATACTTACCGCAATCATCTAATCCGTAAGCAGACCTAATCGCGTTGCGTCGGTCCACGTAATACGTACGTATCCCCATTGTCGTAATGATAGGTAATTATCCCTTTGTCGGTTAAACACCGGTGTACCTTGTCATTTAGGATGATTCGATCGGTTCGAAAGATCCGCGGATCGTGCACCTCGATATACATATACATATATATATATATATATATATATATATATATATATACACGTAATACGTACGTATCCCCATTGTCGTAATGATAGGTAATTATCCCTTTGTCGGTTAAACACCGGTGTACCTTGTCATTTAGGATGATTCGATCGGTTCGAAAGATCCGCGGATCGTGCACCTCGATATACATATACATATATATATATATATATATATACCGTCGTAGACCCGATAATAACCCACCTTTAGGATTCCTTACGACGTTGCATTTAACTAGAAGCCGTATAATTCCAGCACACGTATAGCCTGTCTTGCGAGGTGCAAGCATGCATGTCCCCGTGTCTAACCGGGATGCACATAGCGCGGTGCATAGTTGGGATAATTGCAGCATGGGGCGAGACTAAGGTGAGAGGGGAAATTTATTATCTTAAAATTTCGTAACGGGTGAACAATGCGCGGAGTTCAAAGTTCGGCGCTCCGGACACGCTGAAGTCTATCGTGAAAAGTGCATCCGAGGTCTGGTGGGATGTTAACGATTGAGGGGGAAAAAAAAAAAAATTCATTTTTTTTTTTTTTTTTTTAAATAAGCCTTCCTTCGCTATTCCAGAATCTGAACGCAGATGCGGAAACCAACGAAGGAGTCCGGTTTCCGGGTCGTGTTCACCGTCCCCATTGCAGAAGCGTTTTTGCGGGGTGCGTTACGTGACACCTTGGGCGTACGACGGTGCGTAATCCCTATAGAAATTGCCCGGCCGGTTCGACGGTAGTCCGGACGATGGTAATTAGAGTGAACTTTTTCGTGAAAGCTACGTTCACGTCGTACGCGATGGGGCCCGACGCGCTATTACCACGTCAGACTCGGGATCGTGAAAGTTGGACCACCCCGTGAGACCCGAACAATTGACTCAACGAATTACGTGTGCACGTAGCTTATGAGCGCAGGCTACGTGTTGCATAGCATTTGGGATAAACCGCGTAACGGAGCGACTTTTTTCTTCTTATTACCTCGAGATTTCACAGCTGTGTGCGAATATACGTAGAGTGTGTACGGACCTTTAGGATCGGTAAAAAGGTCGGGCAAGAAAGTCCCGTACGGTAAATATAAAAATGGGATCGAACGGTGATACATCGATATCGATACATAAATAGTCAATGATCGCATTGGATCGATCGATCGATACGAAAATGGCTAATCGAAGAAACGAAGTGAAAATAAGAATGGGTAAGGAGGGTTAACGGTAGAGGTAACAATGAAATATGGAAATGTGACATTTGGAATTGCCAATAGAATCGCCAGGGCGCGCGCGAGGATATGTTAATGATTGGAATCAAGAGACGAGTACGTAGGCGGGATACGTCGCGCACGTGGCGCGCGAGCACGAAGAGATAGCTGAGACAATAATTATTTTACTGGAATAATCGAAAGATGGTTATCTCGTAAGATTTATTTTAGATAAAAAAAAAATTATCTCAAAATATATATACCATCGCGCTGGACTTTGCATACGACCCCTTGTGTAATGCTTGATAGCCGGGAGGGGGTTCCCCGGTCTGACCTCCTCCTACCCAGAGGGAGAGAATCGATTGGGATCAATGATGTCACGGCGAAACTTATTGACTTCGATCCGTCTGATAAATTGATACCATAGACTATTACCTGAGCAGTGTGCCACAGGTAGGGATAATATCCTATAGATAATATACCACAGAGCCGTAATGAGGTAGCACGCTGTGCACGTGACCGGATCTCAGCTCACGGATCAGCCGAGTTGCGTGCCAGAAGCGTTCCGTGTCCCATTCCGATGATCATTCGGTCCCAGATCCATGCGGGACGTACAAGAGGGAACGCGGGGATATGGGTCCAGGATAAAAACGGTCGTACGAAGAAGAAAAAAAAAAAGAAAAAAAAAAAACAAGAAAAAATTCAAGATAATTCGAAAACTCACCACGTGAAGGCCTTCCGCATCTCTTCTGAGGTCTCCGCTTCTCTGTCCCGCAGTGACCGCCGCGCTCAGCTGATTGTAATGATGCTGATGAAGAGTGTTGAGGGTCTGCGCGTAGGGATCGCTCACCAGGTAATCCAGATGCTGGGGCTGCCCAAGTCCGGGATGCTGTGGACTGGCCGGTGCGTGATGATGGGACGGAAAGGGCGGCGGAAAGTAAGGTGGCTGAAAGTCGGAGGCGGTCGGAAGTGACGCGCCGCCGTGATGCGGCATACCGCCGCCGTTGCCGTTTCCTCGATGGCCATGATGATGGGCACCGGAATAGGGCGAGGAGTTTCCGCCACCCAGCGAAGATATGCCCCCGTGACCCGTGAGTCGGTCCTGTTAACATTAAGACAATCGGTACATTAATATTCTTGTACCCGATCGTGACGTAACTTCGTGCCTTGTTAATCAAATGCTCGTGACGTTTATCTACGAGGATGGCCTTGATTCCGCCATAGGCCGACACTTGTCAGTCAAACTCGAGGCTGTACGTTTCGACTGGTTAAAGGTTCTTTTATTTATTCACTTCCGTCTCCAGGTCGTACCGTGAAGCCCGGTACTGTACTTATTGGTGTCTTGTTACGTTAACTGTTACGGACTATACAATAACACGTGGAGATTTATGTCTACATATGCATCGTCTTACTCGATCGCTTTTCACTGTAATCACTGACGAAAGAACGAACGGGTTCTCGAGGAATAATTTTTCTTTTTTTTTTATAACGCACAGATGCTATAAAGCTCATTGAGAAACACGTGGAATCTGATCGAACCTCGTGTAACACC